GGACCATTCCAGGCCTCGCTAATGACCCCCGAGGGGTCAGGGGGTCGGCGGAGTAAAAGCAGATCAGAGAGGATGTGGGGGCCGTGGGCCAGGACGGGTCCCCATAAATCTGAAGCCCATTCTCAGAGGAAGCCATCTTTTTTTTTTTTACCTCGCCGTCGGAATTAAAATCACAATCGTCACGTTGTGCTCCGCAGCGTGTGGAGGTTATAATTCAGGGCTGGCAGGAGGAGACGGTGGTACCGGACTGTCAGGAGCAGGGTCAGCAGAATCCAGTATTTTCAACTGGGTCAGAGCCATGGCTCCGGAGAGGCGGGAGACCAGTGTGACAGAGATGAAACTGACAAACTCAAATCATGTTTCAGGACATGAGCGAGTTGTTGAAGAAAGTTCAGGTTCAGTCACACTCAGAGTGAATGTTGAGGAGGACTGTCTGCTACTACCACAGGAGGACTCGGCTCTCTCTTCACCACGACAGACCGGTACAACGCCCACATCACTGCAGACTCAGCATCAATCCACCTGTTGATCTCCTGCTCCATTCTTCCCTCATTCATGAACAAGACCCTGAGATACTTAAACTCCTCCACTTGGAGCAGGACCTCCTCTCTGACCTGGAGACGGCACGCTACCCTTTACTGGCTCAAGACCATGGTCTGGGATTTGGAGGCACTGATCCTCATCCCGGCCGACACTCAGCTGTGAACTGTTCCAGTGAGAGCTGGAGATCAGGATCTGATGAAGCCAACAGGACCACATCATCCACAAAAAGCAGAGATGTGATCCTAAGGTCAGCAAAAAGGATCCCCTCAACACCTYGGCTGCTCCTAGAAATTCTGTCCAGAAAAGTTATGAACAGAATCRGTGACAAAGGACAACCTTGGTGGAGTCCAACTCTCACCTGAAACGAGTCCGACTTACTACCATCAATGTGGACCAAGCTCTGGCACCGGTCCTACAGGGACCTAACAGCCCGTATCAACGGGACTGGTACCCCATACTCCTGGAGTACCCCCCACAGGAGTCCCAGAGGGACACGGTTGAACGCCTTCTCCAAGTCCACAAAACACATGTAGACTGGTTGAACTCCCATGTACCCTCCAGGACCCTGCTGAGGGTGTAGAGCTGGTCCAGTGTTCCAGGACCAAAACCACACTACTCTTTCTGAATCTGAGATTCGACTATCAGACGGACCCTCCTCTCCAGGACCCCTGAATAGACCTTACCAGGGAGGCTCAGAAGTGTGATCCCCCTATAGTTGGAACACTGTCTGCGGTCCCCCTTTTTAAAYAGGGAGACCACCACCTCGGTCTGCCAATCCAGGGGAACTGCCCCCGATGTCCACACAATGTTGTAGAGTCACGTCAACCAACACAACCYSACAACATCCAGAGTCTTAAGGAACTCTGGRTGAATCTCATCCACCCCCAGCGCCCTGCCACCGAGGAGCTTTTTAACCACCTCTGTGACCTCGGCACCAGAGACTGGAGAGTCCAACCCAGGGTCCTCAGGCTCTGCTTCCTTGGGAAGACATGTCGGTGGGATTGAGGAGGTCTTCCAAGTATTCTACCCACATCGTCCCGAGTTGTGGTCAACAGCGCACCATCCCCACCATAAACAGTCTGTGGGACTCCGGAAGCAACCGGATTGCAGCTCAGGTGCTCGCTGAGGGAAAAACCGGGCATGGGAGGAGTTTGGAGAGGCCATGGAAAAAGGCTTCCACACGGCTTCGAGGTGATTCTGGTCCACCATCCAGCATCTCAGGTGAGGAAAGCGGTTCACCACCAACACTGTTTATGGTCTTTAACACTGTTTAATGTTTTCCCCAACCAGATTCATCATCCTACACTGAAGCTGATTCAGCCCTGGTGAAAGTTTAAGTCTTTCGTTTGGTAAATTTAATGTTTGATGTCAAATTGAAGATGCCTTTCTTGGAAAAATTAATTTTGTGCACAGAAGTTATGAAAAGTTTGACTGATTTTACTCCTCGGACGCAGTGGGACAGTTACTGATGATGAAAGCCACCAGCTGATCCTGCTCCATGGTCCTCACATGTCTGACCAGGTCTGAGCTGAGTCTGCAGAGCTCCTGCAGATGTTCACAGAGACTGAATTCTTCAAATGAGGTTGGAGGTCAGATTTATGACAGTTTGGATGATTTTGTCTCCAAAAATCAAGTTGACCCAGAATTAGATGAGAACTGCCGGAACAAGGAACAGAACACTTTTAGAAAAAAACTGATGGGGCTGCAATTAAGATTTTATAATTATTGTTTATATATTAAATACTAGTTAATTTAGTTGAGATTTGAGTAGTCAGTGTTTTATTTATGTACTCGGCTTGTTGCCAGTTATAATTTAGAGAGTAAATGTTTAAACATACCATGATTATTTTTATTCTCTTGAACTGGAATTATGTAAATTTGTRTAAAATTATAGGTTTGAATCCTGTAGTAGTCAAAGCAAAGTTATGGTGAATTAATATAGAAACTATAGAAACTCCTCGGGCTGATGAGTTAATGAGAAATAAAAACTTCTCCAGGCTGAGAGGAAAAGATGTTTCAGTTCCTGAACAAAGGCCTCAGTTAGAACTGAGATCAGCTCTGAGACGCTCTCTGCAGGACAGGAAGTAGTTCATCACACACACACACACACACACACACACACACACACACAGAGGCCACTTTATTGTGTATCCATGCAGTTTGACACTTGAAAGCAGGAAGTGATCAACTCTTTCCCTCTCAGAGTCAGATCAGAGTGGAAGCTGCTCCTCCAGATGATCAAATTAAAACAATATCAATCAGTTCCACTTATTCAGACAACTGAAGACATTTATCTTTGTCTGGACTCATATTTACTTCATTCATCGCCCCTCAGCAGGATGACCTCTGACCCTGGTAACATGGCCATCCTTGGATTGGTTTCAGCCATATGTTTCAGGGTCATGAGTGCTGCAGAACGTGAAGGACTGGTTGAGTAAAACGAACTGAGGACATGTCAGGGTTTAAAGCTGCAGAACAATCACCTCATGGAATTTATYACTTAAAGAATTTGACACCACTTCACAATAAGTGTATACGTTTTAACATAAGGCTTTATAAATAGTCAAACCATTTTAAAACATTTAAAACACTAAAGTAGGCTCACTGATCAAATTATAAACTAGTTCTTCAGACAGTGTCTAAGCATGTGGCTCCCTCTAGTGACCAGCGTGAGTGGATTTATGACAAATCACAACAAATCAGGTCAAACTAATCTACAGCTCTTTTTCAGATTCTTGGCTTTTTAAGCTACATTTTGATGCCTGAAAATCCTGATTTCAGTGATGTGGCTCCATTTGTTCAGACCCCAGGGAAAGGGTTCTAATGAGGATTTCTTATGAAAGCAGAAACYTCAAATTATATTTGGATATCAGGGTTTCACAGCTAGTATTGAAAATAAYTTTACTAGCAGGGAWAGTTGCATAAATGTAGGRCTTTTCTTTTCAGAAACCCCTCGCTGACACTGGTCACACATCAGCAGTTACCTGAACATACAGGTGTTTCACAGCTTGATTATGGGACTCTCAGCTGCAAGACTCTGTGTTTTTATGCTTGTWCKGCRAAACAAACGTGAGCTTTGTGACRTTTTAATGCATCTTTATTGAAGACATGTTCTGCAAAACTCAATTAGTTTTTCAAGGAATGTGAAAGTTTGAACAGTTGCAGAAATCAAACATGACAAAAGTTTAAGGAATTACATTAAAAAACTCAAGAAACAATTGGTTGTATCAACAAGAACGGAGCCCTGCGGTACACCACAAGAGAGGAAGACATATTTTCAAACATGACAGAAAAAGGTCTAACAAGAGGTGATCCAGATACATCCACATCCTAATTTAAAAAAATCAATAAACTTTTCTCTGTTAGACCAGTGTTTGTAAAGGAGAGAAGACTGCAGTTTGTACACAGCTTGTGCTCTTTTTTTTTCTCCCAAATCTTGGACAAAAGACCCAGCTGTTTGTTTTAGGCTCATCTTTTCACTACCTTGTGAAAACCTAAATAAAACAGCAAAATATCACATTTTGTTTATTTCATTTAAAATAAATGCTCGTTTTCTGCTACAAAACTGATGTTTTAAAGGAATAGTTTACATATTTCAATTTTATGTTTTTATATATACAGTATTATTAAATGTTTTGCAGTTTAAACGTTGAACCTAACAAACCAAGTGAAGTCTTGAAGTTATTTTACATTTTCCTTTTTTATTTAACTTTATTGTTTCTTGTATTTTGGTCCACATTATTGCATTTAAGGGTTCTTTTCTCTTCATTTGTTTACTGTATTGATGTAAATATTGAAATGAAAACTGGAAGTGGAGAAAAATATGTTCACAACTAATTTTATTCAGGCAGTCCTTTTGGTTCCACAACTTCCGGGGTGGGGGTGGGGGGTCCTTCGCTTCTTTTCACTCAGGCATCACAGCGTGGTGCCCCGGGAGGTCCTTAGCGTCACAAATTACTGCACACGTGCGCTGTCAGCAATCATGGCGGACATGCCGATGAGACTCCTTCGGAAAAAAATCCGAAAAAGAAGCGAAAAGACCAAAGAGCGAAAACAGAAGAACAAACTGAGAGAAGAAGAAGAAACCGGTAAGAAAAACGAGCTGAAAAGATTCGGACGCGGCTCAGGTTCGGTTCTGTTCCGGACCAGCACTGACTGGGATATGACCAGGTTCAAATACACCGTATAAACAGTGAATTTAATAACAATTATTAAATCGTATTTTTACTGTAAAACGACTTATTATAAGCCGTTTATTAGTGTTTTTTACAACACTACCTCAACTTTATTAATCAGATCAAACCGGAAGCTCCAGTTAGAGTCCTTTAAAAGTAAAGTTTATGGGATTTGTAAAAGTTTAGACCGCTGAAAGTATGAATAATATGTGGTGAAATCATTAATAAACTGCTGTCTGGTTAAATATATTAAATAACAGCTCAGTCATGTAGTTTATTTTNTTTTTTTATTTATTTTTTGTTTGTTTAAGCTGGACTTTTTAAGATTCAAGTACAATATCAAGTGCACGAGGGCCTTTCAATGAGAAGCCGATGAAAAATGAGACCTTTGTCCCCTCGGGGTGTCCACTAATCTGACTTCGGAGCGCTGGAATCACTTCAAGCTTCAGACCTGGGGTACAAGTGTGTGCCAGTATCCCATCATGCTTCACTTCACCTGTGACCCTGAGAAGAAGCTCACTCACTTTCCTTTCTTTCCATATCTTGCCGTTTCCCCACATGGAAGAAAACTCGTCAGCTTCGATGAATCTTTTGATCGCCCCAACGTGCACGAGTCGCTCGTAGCCCACCTTCCTCCCCAACAGGAAATGGATAAGGGGACTCTTCCCGTTGAACACTTCCTTCATCTCTTCATAATAAATGGTCTTCATCTTTGAAATGAACATTCTCAGATTTACACGCACTGGATCTTGTGCTTGTGGCCACAACAACACAACTGTGACGAAGAACAGAGCCAAACACTCGTTTAATGGTACCTGTTCATTGTGAACCTGGAAGAGGACGTTCAGCAGCTCCTGGTATTGTATCAAACATTGTGATTGTAGTTTGATACGACTCAACACAAGATTGATGTAGATGAAGTTGATTTTCTCCTTTGGAGATGGTTTGTTCTGCCAGAGGAAGTGATAGTGCCTGGCAATTTTCTCAATTATATCCACTGAAGTTTGTTTTGAGAGACAATCCAGAATCCCAAAGTAGGTATCAGCTTTTTCCTTCTCAAGGAACTGTCTTGTCTGCTCAAGAAGCATCATGGTATTCATCATTTTATTTTTTAAAAGATGAGCAGAATCTGTCCTACAGAAAACTTTAGCGTAGAGTTTGAAGCATCTGAAAAGCTCCATTTGGGCCACTTGGTCACGACTGTCTTTCACTCCAAATCTGGAGCCCAGATTCACGTACAGTTTGTCAAGGTAGTCGATGTTCTGCTTCATCTTGTACTTCAGGTTGTAAAGTAAGCTATCGAACTGTTTCAGAATGTCGTAGTAGACTGCATTTTTATTGCGTCGTGGATCATTTCTCTGTATGTCCTCAAGTTTAACTGTCCCAGAGAGGAAATGACCCATTATGTCATGGTGAACACAGTCACGTGAAAAGACTGGGATCTTTTCCAACAAGTCAATTATCAGAACTCCAACCTGGATTTCTCCGAGACATCCTGACGTATTGAAAGGGCAGTTGTCTGTTTTGATTGTTATTCGCTGAAGTGATTCTTTCTTTGCAAGGCTTTGTGTGTGTTTGAACGCTTCCATGGCTGACTGTGCCATTTTGAGAAAATGGATCAGTTCTCTTGGKCTGACTGGCACTTCATTGCATGTTGTCATTTCATGCTTTAGCTCATGCTTAATCACTTGTGCTGATGTGTCTGCAATATATGAGCTGTCTTTGGAGAGGTCTTTTGCTTGGTCTGCCTGTTTTTTTGCCTCAGAGAAATCCTTCTTCTTCAGATAGTAGTATCTGGCAAGCAACTGAAAGATAATGGCATTTTTGTCAAATAGTTTTGATGCATTTGTTAGCACCATCTCTTCCTGTCCAGGTGTTTCTTTGGCTATTTCTTGAATCAGTGGGGAGAACTGAGATTCCTCTTCTAATGAATGAAATCTTTTGACCAAGATGTGGTGGACACCTTGCATGAGATTGTCTTTGCCTTGAGTGCACTCATAAAACTGCTTTGTTGTCAGCAGCAAGTCTGTAATTGCAGCTTTTGTCACGTTGTGTGTTGTTATAAGTTCCTGCAAACACTGACTTGCAATACTTGAGTGGATGACTTTCACAGCTTTGTAAACTACCTTGCCTTCAACTAAGCAGCTGGCAATGAAGTTGGAAAATTTTCCAAATCCATCTTCTATTTTGACGTTTCCACAAACTGGCTTTGGTTGAAGGTCAAGAAAGTCTTCACACAAGGAGACAGACAGAGAGGAACCCTTGCAGTAAACATTCAACAGAACTAAAACAGCCAAGAGTTGTGCGTTCTTCTGGTTCATGCTGAAGTTTTTCAGAGTGTTACGAACAACTCCTTCAATGTACTCTGACTTGAAGTTCTTCTTCATGATCATGAAACCATAAAAGGTTTCAAAATTCTTGTGTGTTTTTTCGATGTCTTTAAGTTTCACTTCAAACATTTTCAGTTCTTTCTCAGAGAGATGATTCCCAATGAAAACAGTGTTTGCAGTTGGTGCGCTTAACTCCGAGGACTCTGATCTCATGCAGTTTAGAAGAATGACATTTGCAAATTTAGACAGAATGGCTTTCTCTGCACATGCCTTTTCAATGAGCTGGAGCAAGTCATGTACTTTTTCCATGTCATCAAAGTCATCTATCAGCAGCAAAACTGGGATTTTTGGCACTTGCTCTTCATAGGAATGTGTTAAAAGCTGGATCACTTGATCAGCCACTTCGGCCAAGTCATTGCTGTTCTTCAAGACGGCACAGCGAAACTTCTTCTTAAGAGCCCATAATACATGCATGGACAAAGTCGTACCACCACATCCAGGTACATGAAGGAGATTGAGCAACACACAGGCTCTTGTCAGGGAGCACAGGTCTGGTATGGCTACGTCCACGATGTGGTCAAACATGTCTCGTTTGATGAATGGTGCAGATCCAGGCTGCTCAGAGAAATAGAAATGCCACCATAGTACTTTTCCTCCTTTGTAGAAGTTCTCCTCCATGACAATTTTGTCCTCATTTCCTCCTTCACACTGGTTCTCACACAGGATCTCTAAGGTATTCAGGCTACGCTCAACTTTTTTCTCAAGAGGCACTTTGCTTTCACCACCGCACGGCAGGAAACGGATGGCTCTGCGGTTCTTTGACCAAAGACTAAGGATGGTGCCATTGATTTCAGCAAAATTGAGCTCGTATATACACCTGCCAGAGATGTCGATTCCACAGCGAGCCTTGATAAGATCCTTCCATGATGTGAATGCATTTTCGCTGTCTGTTATACAGAGGATTTGATCGGTGCCTCTGAGCTCCTGACAGAAGGTACTGAAAGTTTCAACAAGAGGATCCATCCTCTCCCTTACTGTTGACAAAAGTAAGAAAATGACGAGGAACCTCTTGTTTGGAAGCACATCTTTTCGACACAAAAAAGAAATCACATCTCGAACTGAGGCTCCCTTGTCCATCAACCACCGGTCGGTGTCTGAAGGTTCGTCATGCTCAGTACGTCCATTGCAGAAAACCCAGCTGGTGTTTCGAGTTAATTTCAACTTCTTAGCTATGTCTTCCACTCCTTCTGTGATTTTGTAGTTGGCTGGTAAATGGACGCTTACTGTGCTCTTCTGGTCAAAGAAGCTTTGTAAGCCATGTTCAGCAGATTCAGGGTCAAAGTCCAAAACTGCTGTTGGGTCAAGCTCTATGAGAAATTCTAGATTTTGAAAATGRCTTGGATGGGATTTGTTTGTCACTATAACATATCGCTCAAAATGTGACTTATCCAAAGATGAAGTGCTACCAGTTATCAAGTGACTTAATCTGGAGCCATGAGTCGAGCTTTTTATTGTATTTAGGTGCTTCTTTTCTTCATTTTTGCGTAACTGTGCCAGATTAGGTATATTTTTAAGAAACAGCTCGTACTCTTTAAACCTCTCTTTTTGAGACGTAGTTGTTGGAAAAAGATCCTTGCTGCTACCACCGTCTCGAATATAAAAAGTCTTTGGTGGACGTTTGCTTTTTTTTGTGAGGAGTGTGTGGTAGGCATTTTCTTCACATACCACAGACTCGGGAACAACATCCACTTCAATCACAAATTTGTCAGATGATGTTGCATTTCGGTTGAGAACTTCAACGAATCGAGGAGGCTTAATGCACATTTGAGCAGCATTTTTGTGCTTATGCTCAAAGTAGTCATCAATGGCTAATTTTAGCTTGATTGCAAACTCTTCTTTGTTTTTTACAACCACTCCCAACACTTGACCGTGAACAAAGTCTGGCTTATCTCCTATTCCAAAATGTATGGTGCCATTGGTGCGGCTATTCATGCAGGCAGCTGCAAAACAAATGACCTCTCTGGTGAACTTGGTAAACAAAGCTTCATCCGGTGTATTAATGAGAGCTTTATATTCGTGGCAGGGTTCAATGAAGTTTGAGGCACCTGATTCTGTCACATCAAGAATGCTGCCTTCTACATATCTTGATGTATCGTGGTATCTGCAGAAAGGATAAGGCTTGCATGGTCTTCCAGGCTGGTGTGCAGAGCTCACTGGCTCCTCTGTCATTAATTTCATCGCCTCATCTCTGGCATGGATAATGAGTGTAGCTGGTCCAAATGTCACACCCATTTCACCTAAGTCAGATTTTTTTAAAAGCTTGAGACTTTTACCACAAATGTCTTGTTTTAACAATATATCAGCAACAGAGTCGTCCACGTCTTGCAAACTGCTGACCCATTCTCTCACATGATGTTTACTCCAGTCCTTCATGTCAGACGGCAGACCTTCCTCCTAAAATAAAAATATAAAGTAACATTAGTCTTCCTGATATCCAACAGCATTTTGACAGCACCTAGGCATTGAATGAATTCAGGGTTAAAGTATTAAACATAATGCTGCATGAAACAAACACATTGTACTGTGCAAAAGTTTTAGGCAGGTGTGGTTGAAACGCTGTAACTTAAGAAGACTTTTACTATAAAATCATCAACATTGATGTCTTGGTATTTAACCATCCATGTGTCCTGATGGTGTTTGTTATGGACAAGCAATGACTAAAGCACAACATCACTTTGCTTTATGTCAGGCAGGTCATACGTCCCAAGGTCACAATGTTAAAACCAACAAGCCTGTTGAAAACCACAAATAAGTCGATTGAATCCCTCAGTAAATAATCATCTGCACTGCTTTTAGATGATTGTATACAAATAATAGTTGTGACGTTTTACCTCACCCAAAAGTAAAGAGAGATCATCCTCTCACTCACCAGGAAGTACTCCAACAACTAGGGTTAAGCTAGGGTTAAAGCATAACCTCTACTCTCACCCAAGGTAACAGGAACTTGATTCTCCCTTTTCTAACAGTACCTGCTGTAGGTGGTGGGTACACAGGAGGGGGTTCCAAGTAACTCATTCAAGCTGTGCCACGTTAGACTTAATGGCAAAGTCACAGTGAGGTGGGAATTTGACTTTGTGTTCACAACCGGGTTGTTAACTCAAGCTTTGTCTGTGTCATGGTCTGTGTTTATTTTCCTGAGTTTTCTAGTGTTTTCAGTGTTCCCCTGTGTTTCTCTGCCCTGCAGCCCCACCCTCTCTCACCTGTGTCCTTTTGTGTCTGCTCCAGGTGTGTCTTGTTGCCCTAATTAGTTTTCTGTGTATTTAAGTCCTGTCCTGTCTCAGTCTTGTGTCGGATCATTGTTTGATGTGTTGGTTCTGGTCCTCTGTGCTTTGTTCCCCCTGCCTGTGTGATCCTCGTGCCTCCTGTAAGTTCAGCTGTCTCTACAGCATTTTTGTTATTTAAAATAAATTTTTGTTCTACTTTTGGAGCCTGCCTGCGCCCTGGGTCTGTTCATGCCATATCCTCACAGTCTGGCCCCTCACCAAAACCAATTTACCATGTCAAGCAGTCAAATTAGAATTTCTTATTAATCTATCTAAATTTAGACACCCACCACCCCRACAGTGATGCGTCAGTGAAAACTGGCACGTGATGCGTTGCTCTGCTCAGAGGAACTCCTACTGACAGTGTGTGCAGCTTTCTCCACTGACTCAGATCCGCCTCCACGGAGGAGGGGATCGATATGATCCTGCGCTTGTGGCGTATTGGATTGATCTTTAGCCAGGAGAACCATCGTTGCAGGCATGTTGTATGTAACAGCCCGAGCGGAACCAGCACATGGGCCGTTGTCATCATGCCCAAGAGGCGCATGATGGTTAGAGCTGTGTCACTGACCTGCGGGGCCTGATTTGCGCTAGCAATGACAGCAGGGCCCCTTTTCTGGGTTGGGACAGTCGAGCTGTCATGGTGACTGAGTCCAGATCCACACCCAGATAAGTGATTAGTTGGGCCGGAACGAGAGAACTTTTTTCCCAGTTTACAGAGAAGCCCAACATCCTCAGGTGTGCCGACAGCTTCTCTGTTTGTGACACTGCTTCCTGTCTGGATGGCGCCAGCAGGAGCAAATTGTCCAAGTAAAAACAGGATTCTCGTTCTCGCTGAGTGCAGAGGCTGCAGCTCCGTCTCCTCGCACTTGGAGAAAGTGCGTGGTCCCAGTGCGTAACCGAACGGAAGACGGTTGTRCTGGTACCGAGTCTCCTGAAAGGAAAAACGCAGATATTTTCTGTATGCCGGAATGATCGGGACATGAAAATATGTGTCTTTCAGGTCGATTGATGTGAACAAATCGTCTTCCTGAACACATGTAAGCATCTGTTTGGTTGTCAACATGTGAAAGGGCCTTTTCACTATGTACTTGTTGAAGAATGAGAGATCCAAAATTGGTCTCATTGCACCTGTTTTCTTGGGGACAAGGAAATACCGGAAATAAAACCCTGGCTCGAGTCCAAGCTCGTTCCAGTGGAGCCATGCACTACGCGTATCACGGCGCTGTGATTGGCAGATTCATGCTGGAACTGGGCGGGGCCACCATGCCTCCGCGTGTGACACGGCTCATGTTGCTTGTCTTCTCTTACGTCCGCCGTTTGCCGACGGAATGAAAAGAAGGAAGTGTTTGCGTTCGCCGGCCACAAGGGGGCGGAACAACCCACAGAATGTGATACGGTAGAAGAGGAAAATGTTGGGTGACCAGAGGCCGGCTAGGCACAAGCTTAGCGGACCTTACCCAGAGTGGGGGAAACGTGTGAGACAGGCCGCATCATTAGACCTGACTGAACTGGATACTTGTGAGAGGAATTTGCCCTTTAGGGGAAGATGTTTAGCAAAGAGCCCATCGGGGTTGACGGGGCCCTCCAGCATCTGCTTCTGCATCTTCGCCGAGATGGAAGGAGTGAGGCGTAACCACATCTGCCTCTGCAGCAGATTCATCCACGCCATGATGAAGGACGCACAGACAGCCTAAGCAGCGCAGAGATTTAAAATGGTGTCAGCTGCTGCACAGAGCTCCACCTTCTCCTCCTGCTAGTGCTGGGCGGTATACCATTTTGTACCGAATACCGGTTTTTATTTTTGATTTGATATGAATTTTTTGAATACCGGACATTCCGGTTTAAATAGCGGAACGTTCCA